TTTCTTTCTTTCTTCTTTCTTGTCTTTCTTTTTCTTTCTTCTTTCTTTCTCCTTTCTTTCTTTCTTTCTTTCTTTCTTTCTTTCTTTCTTTCTTTCTTTCTTTCTTTCTTTCTTTCTTTCTTTCTTTCTTTCTTTCTTTTCCTCTTTCTTTCTTTCTTTTCCTTTCTTTCTTTCTTTCTTTCTTTCTTTCTTTCTTTCTTTCTTTCTTTCTTTCTTTCTTTCTTTCTCTCTCTCTCTTTCTTTTCTTTCTTTCTTCCTTCCTTCCTTCCTTCTTCCTCCCTTCTTTCTTTTCCTTCCTTCCTTCCCTTCCTTCCTTTCTTCCTTTTTTTTTTTATACTAATGGGTCTACTCTAATTTATTTAGTTTCTGGAAATAGTTACTGATCAGGTACCTTAAACTGAGTCCGGCTTATATTTTAGCATGAAGTGGGATTTCTACTCTATTATAGATTTGAAACCATTTGTATGTACTATCATTACAAGTACTCATGAATTCCATGCTTTTTAAACATATTTATTATTTGTGTGTGTGCATTTATCTGAATTCAGGCTTTCACATGCTTTGTATTTCTTTCATCTGTTTCTTCTGCCTCTAGAAATTTTGCGTTGGGACTGAGGATGGCGTTCAGTTGGTAGAGCACGCACGAGGGCCTGGGTTTGGTATCCCACATTGCATAAACTGGGTGTGGTGGTACATGTATGTAATTATAGTACTTAAGAGACAGTGGCAGGGAAATCAGGAGTTCAAGGTCATCTTTGGCTATATTGAGAGTTTAAGGGCAGCTTATGTTACCATTTTTTTCTTTATCCCTGCCTTCCTCCCATTCCACTTTCCCTATTGATTTTCATGAGTATACACTACACTGTCTTTCTTTACATGGTAGCTACTGAAACATTTTGTATAAATTTAATTTTAAAATCTGTGTAACCAAGTGTACCATTTTCCATATCTACAAAAATCTCACAACGCTTGAATTCTTGTTCCCTGAGCTGACATTCTAATATTGTCCAGTTCTTCAGGTTTGTTGGTTTATCCCCTCAAGTAAAAAGATTGCTCAATGGAACAGTTCATTCAAATTTAACTCGGCGGCTGCTCTTTTGTCTGCTAAGCATTCTTCGTTTAATACTGCTATTCTTCACTGCTTTTTCTTTCATCCTGAAATACAGCTTTTAGATTCTTTAGTTGGGGGTCTAGAGCTATTACACTCTCTAGTTTTTGTTCAATCCTCAGTGTCATTACTTCCCAGATTAATAAAGAATCTTTCTGACAGCCCTGGACTAAGACAGGCCTCAAGCTCTGCCTTATCAGGACTCTGGACCTTGGGGAAATGCCTTCCTATCTCTGGGCAGATGTTCCTTTGGCAGGCCATGGTAAATGATCTCCAAAGGCCCTTCTAGCTCTCATATTCTTCAAGTAGGACACAATGGGTGACATATAACATTAGACAACCGAGAAGAGAACAGGGTTGTCCAAGAGTATCAGGTGACTGAGAAAATGAAGAGGCAGGAAAGTAATCACACATGCCCGTTTTGATTACAACATCCCAAATTTCCCTGCATATCAGCGATATCCTTGCCATTTGTCCAAAGACATGCCTTGTATAGGGCAGCTTCACAAACAGCAGTCTCTGTGAGAGCCCCACCCACCCAAGCACAGTTCTCAGATGTTCTACTATCAGTAGATGCCAACCGGATGCTGAGGAGAGAGCAGCTGAGGCCAAAGAGAAGGGAGGGGTGTGCTCTCTGGCTCTTGAGACAGGGGAGTCAGGTGGGCTCTACTTAACCCACACCTGAGACTCAGTGGACTGGGCGTTTTGGTTTTCCCGCACATCCGCTACATGAAAAAATGAACTTCTTAAGTGATGGTCTTGGGTTATTTTCTCCTATTCTTAGAATATAAATGAGGACAAAATAATCACAGAACCATCAAAAATGATGAGGTGCAAAGTTTGAAAATGCGGCCACTCTCTCTCGTATCTGATTCTTTCACCCCTTTCTCATAGTGATTTGTACAATCTTATCCACTCAGTCCCATGATGGATTATACCTGCATCCCTCGAGGTACCAAGCAAAGAGCGGATTGTAAATGTTTGAGAAATAGTCATAATACAAGTGGAGAAAAATGGGAGTCGTTGAATGAAGGTAGAAAGCCCATCAATTCCACCTCAAAATTGGATCTAGCATTAACCCCCCCCCACACACACACACAACACTGAGTCCAGACAGAGCGTGCTGAAGTGATTTGAGAGCATGTCAGAAGTCGAGCTCATCTGTGTTGACGGAGTGGGGACAGCATGCTCTCGTGGCATACTTGTTCTGAGAGGCATTCCCATTCTCAGAGGGCCATATGGAAAGCAACTGGTGAAAAAAAGGAATCACAGTAACTGGGCTTAAGAGAAAAGGAAACAGAGATCATCTGACTCCAGAAGAATTCCACACATAGGCAAGTAAGTGGAATGAGAAGTTTATTGGATATCTAAATATAAAGTAGTTGCTTTACAGAAAAAAAAGAATGTGATTTTTATATTTATTCTCATAAGAGCACTGGGAAAACATAATCAAAACTGATAGAATGTAAATAAAAACATTTTAATATAATTGAATAATGTGTAAGTACAGAAGAAATTACCCAAATCGCAGTCTTAGAACACAACTTATTGTGATTTTCATAAGGAACCATGTGTGCTGCTGTGGGGATGTCAGGGATGGTTTACGAGGCAGTGAATGCATGCACTTTGCTTACACTGTGGAAATGCCATGGCTCTACCAGTATCACACACATGAAAAAAGCCCTATTCTCCACGCCTTGGGGTAGCTTTCCCTGTCGAAACTGTTCCTGAGACTCACAGCTGCTGGGGGGGCTGCCGCTGTGATTAGCTAGGAGGAATTACCTGCTGCCGGCAGGCACCCTTTGCACAGAGAAATCCTGACAGCTCTCCTCCCCTGTCCTTGACCTGTCCCATTAAATATGACTCAGTTTTCATATCAAGCTACCTCTCACGGTCATGGGGACTATTGGACTGAAACTCAGAGCAAGGCCACACGGTATCTGTTTCCAAGGAAGAGAACCTATGTATTCCAAAGACTTGATGACATCACATGGAGATGTTGGAATTGTCTAGCATGAAAATCGGATCATGTCAATAATAGAAAATGATTAGTGTTGAAATTAGAGAGAGATAAAAAGGATCAACAACAGGAGAAATGTTTTGGGGGAGAAGTACTGCCCAACTCTCTTTAAAAAAAATCAACCTGGCTCCAATCATGATGCTCCTGAAGAAGTGTGGCCATAGTCCTGGAACTACTCCTCGGTGCCATTGGTCCCTCAGCTCTGCTTTGGGTTGCTGGGCTCCTCTATGGGGAGCAGAGTGGTGGACGACTACGATGCCATCAAATGTGTCTTCCACAGCTTGTCGCCTTTCCTTTCATTGGGTCAAACTGAGTGGGGGAAGCGGCCTTTCATGGTAGCTTTGTGACCAAGAGGACATCACGGTGTGTCCCTTCAGAAAGGCTAAGTGGACACATCTTACTTTCCTCAGAGGCATACTGAAGAGAATGTGGAGCCAAGTGACTTAGAAGGGAAGGGAAACGACTTGGCAAGTGGGATCCGCCAGCTGGTCGAGTCAGACGACACATTGAGAAGAATCTTTTTGGGAGCTGTGTCCTCCCTTCAACCCTGCTACAATCATCCAGCATCGCCATCTACCTCAGCAGATCTACCTGGCTCATCTCCTCCTGCCACCCCTGGGTAACAAGTCACCCGACCAGGCTCTGCGGCCGCCTCATCCCAAACATCTAGAGTCCCCATGTCGCTGACTGAGCTCCAGGAACACAGCCCCTCAAATAGCACGCACTAGTATTCTTAGGAGCTGGAGTAAAAATGCTTCAGGGATCTGGCAGGGGCACCTGGCCCCCGAGCCTACATTCCCCAAAGCCAAGTCTTTTCTTTAGTCTTCTCGAAGTTAGCCCAAGAGATAAAAGAAACCTGCTGACATGCTAAATTTAGCAATACTTAGTTTACAAACACACACATGACACACATTAATTGCCTTTTTTTTTTTTTCCCCTGACTAAATGTTCGTGAGCATCTTATTGCCATGGAGCACAGGTTCCTCAGCAGTTTGCCACTGTTCCTGGCATATAAAGGCAAAGTGGCTGTATCAGCAGGAAGTGCCGGGGAGTCTGTTTCAGCCCATTTCACGGTAGCCACGGTAGGGGAGATTGGAAATGAGCCACTTCCTTCCATTTGGCAATGCTTCCGTATCGCAGCACCTACTCCTTTCTGATGGTGTCTTTGAAGGCTGAACAGTACGACTCTGGGTGCCGTGTGTACATACATATGTAGGAATAACGTTTATGTTTCTCAGAATAGGCACTTTTTGAAGGCAGTACATCTAAAAGTAAAGTTAATAGAGCCTATATTTAGCATCCATCTTCTCACTTTGCTGATGTGTATGCTGAACAGAAGATCACAGATTTGAATCAGTCTCACAGAGGCCGGAGTCGGCAAATGGCTATATTCGGAGCTGGGAAAGTCTTGCCAACTCAACTGTAGCTGTTAAAAAGGCAGACTTGGAGAAGGTGCAATCATTTTTCTCAAAGGTGATGGCACAGAAGGAGAAAAAGCCTGTGACAAAGCCGTGAAATGACAGTCTGGGTGTGCCGTTCGGGCAAAATGACTCCCCTGGGCCCTGCGCCTTTGGGTCACATCTCCTTGGTGGCACAGGCTTACTACTTAGAAAGTTCATCTCATAACTGCACACATTCCCATACTCAGCAGTAGAGAAAGAAAAGCCCCCAATCTGTTAAGTAATGATAAAGGTGTAGACTAAGACACGACAGAACAAAACCCAGGTTAGGTCACTACACAGAGCACACCCGGAGCTCAGAGCTTTCTGCAGCTGCACAACTCGGCTGCTAAGTGTAAGGTTTTGCATGGGGCATGCAGTTCCCCACAGCAGCCTTATTCATGCCCATGAACCAGACAGCCACGTGTCATCGTTAAGTCTATCTTCCCCTTGACATGTTTCTGGGAAAAGTGAAGAGCACAATTCAGATCCTGGAAGGGGAACTATTCTACCGTTCATGAATGAGGAAAGAGGTCTTGGATGCTGTGCTTATCAGGTGTCCCAAGTGACAAATGGGTAGTTAAAGGCTAGTCACTGAAAAGTTATTTTGCTACTACTTCACTGCAAAACAGTGATGATCGGATCAGTTTCAGGAGTCTACATCTCATCTAAGACACATCTCAGATCAGACTTTCCACTTGAGGTAGAAGGAGGGTAGTAGGCTAATTCAGTGAATTAGTGCTCCCAAGTGAATGAGGTCTATGGCACTATGACTTCTGGTGATGTAATCCCACACACTGATGTATCTGACACTCTTCTAGAAACCAAGAAGAACACAAAAGATTACTATAATGCACATATCACCTAAATATCAGTTCCCACCTCACTATTTGCTAGGCAAAGTTAAGACCATTCCCATTGTTGGTATTTAAATTATGAAAATCCCTTTGCTCCCATTCTGTGTTTGAAGGTCTGAAACACATTAGAGGCAGATACCTCATAACCTGGCCAACTTCTATTCCTCTGATTACTAAGTGAGCTTATCCAAAGGTGAAGAGGGATGAAGAGGAAGCAGGTTGTTTTTCTTTCACACAAGTCTCCCCTAAGAAATAAAGCAAAGGGCGGCTGAGAGATGATGTAGAGATGCAAGCTAGCTCTGCCTATTTTACAATTTCTGATTGAGAAATGGAACTAAACAGTTTGGCAAGCAAAGATATTCAGACTTACTATTTACCCACGATGGAGAATGTGGATTTGTGAAACCAAGGATTAATTCCTACAGCTCAATATGAAGCAAAGCAGATGCCATAGAAAACAATAACACAATGCCCCAAGAATGCTGGTTGCTTATTCTTTACCCTTTCCCTGACAGAAACAGCAGAGACCCAAGCAAGAGAGAGAAGCACCTCACTTTTCTACTCCTGCATCAAACTGCCTTGGCATATTTAAGAGATAAATAGATTCACATAGAATTTAAGTAGATTTCTTTCTCTTTTCCTTTTTGGAAGCTATGAAAATGCGTCAGGTCTAGGAATTATTAATTTCCTGGCCTGAAGAGTTGAAATGTTTTAAAATAAGATCTATTTTTTTGGAGAATCAGCTTTTTTTGGTGAAGAACTCTCTCTCTCTCTCTCTCTCTCTCTCTCTCTCTCTCTCTCTCTCTGTGTGTGTGTGTGTGTGTGTGTGTGTGTGTGTGTGTGTGTGTGTTTCAAAGAAAACACAATTGTGCTTTCTCTAATCTTTGGAACTATATTATATAGGGTGGAAGAAGGGAAATTTTCGTCCCCCCTTTTGTCCTTTCTTTATATTATATGAAGGCAAGCCAGGATGTGTGGTTGATTCATGAAGATATCTGAAAACTATTTCCACGAAGGAGTACCCTTACACATTCACCTCTTTATTGTCCTTTTGTCTAATGAGATGGGGCAGCGCTACTGAGGCAAGTCTCTCCTCAGGTAACTCATCTGGTAACTCCGAGAAGAGCTCAACAGGTTTCATTGATCTACAGCTTGGGTGGACTACCTCATCTGTGCCAGAGGAAATGCTTCCCATTCTACCAGCCATAAAATCCATCAGACCTCTCAGAAAGATAAGACACCATTCCGGCCTGTGGCTGAGAGTGCTTGGGCAATGATGCCAACCTTCTGGTCCTCTTGTCCTCTATTTCCCTTGTGGGAAGACTTGGAAAAGGCTGGGAGGCCATTTGTCATTTAACTTGCCTTTTCCTAATCTCAGGGAACAGGCAGATGAGTGGCCTGACGGAGCAGAGACTTTAGGGAGGAAAATGCCTAACTTACAAATTAGGGTATCTGAAAGGTTTTCTAGATTTAGTGCAGATGTTATGTAAATAAAGGATATTTTAATCAATGGATCTGCAACTGGTAGCAAATAGCCAGAAGGTAGAAAAGAGAAAGAAAGCCCTGACAGCCCCTGGATGCACAGCTTCTCAGGGAGTCAGCCAGAAGAGGGGTGCTCAGTTGCTGAGTTGTGATGTGGGCTGACTTACAGAATGTACCCGGGGTCCTCCAAGTAGGATTTTTTGCTGTCTGTGTTAAGAACATAATGCTAACCTCCTTGTGATGAGGGTATATTAATCACAAAAGCACAACAGCCTGAGAGGTACCACCTATCAGATGATGAAGGCTAAATTTCAGAAAGGCCATCCATTCCATAGCGCTTGTTTCGGCCTTTTGGTCATGGGCTTATTGGATCAGAAATCTTTTGTGTCAGCATACTCTTGGCAGCCTCTACATAAATGTGAACGGATAGAGAGACTAATTTTTTGTTGTTGTTGTTTTTGTTTTAACCTATAGCAGTTTCTGCCTCTGTGGGATGTACATCATGGCCCATGGGAGGGAGGGCTTTCCTAAAACTCAGGTCACCTCGGCACACGACTGTATTCTAAATGACACAGTCTCCGTTGATATCCTGAACCTGACAGGTCCAGAGAGGTTTGCCATTGATGTAAACCAACACTCTCTGGCGAGACTTGCTGCCTGCCATGCACCTCTGCTCAACTGTTGGCTCTCAGTGGCCTTTGCTCCACAGGCTTCATCACAGTGCTGGTCACAAAGACCCATCGCTTCCCACAAGATGACACAGATCCGTGCAAGCTCTGAATGATCTGCAACACTATGATACACATGTACACCTGCCACAGATAACCACATGGCCCCTATGAATTTCCGTGGTTTTTTTTTTTTTTTTTAAACAGGGCCTTCAGTACCCTGTGAGAAGTATGTGACAGGGTTGGGTACATGCCCAGATCTCACACTTACTGGCTACATTGCTTTTGGCAAGTCACTTAATGATTCTGAACCTCAGCTTTCTCTTCTAGGACAGGGCTATTAATAACCATCTTCCCAGGGCTGTTCTATGTGTGAAAGCAGTTTGTAAGCTCTCTCAGGAATTTTATTATTTTACAGCTCTGAAATCCACGCATAGGTGCTACCTACCCAGGGGCAGAGAGCAGGCTCTTGCTATAGGGCTCTCAAATTCAAAGCTGGGGTAGAAGAGACACAATCTTCTCCTTTCCAAAGACTAATGATTGCTAGCTGAACTGTAACCCAGGGCAACTGTGAGAGAATTTATATGTTTATACATGAAATGCAGCATCACACATTCTTTCCTTAAGGATAGTATGTTTTTGTGCTGAAGAACTGATCAGAAGTGATGAGTTTTTAGCAGTCCCACCATACTTTTTGGCTTTTTCCTTGTGAAAGCTGGCGTTTACACAGTGATATTTCCCAACATTTTAAAGGTCATTATCAGTGGGTCAGATCAATGGAGCAAACTGTTCACGGGACAGTTACTAAGGAAGAGCACAAAGCTTTCTGACCACTGTCAGGACGGTTTGTTTCCTGAACAGAAAATACAACCAACAGAATTCACACAAAGTCTAACATGTGATTGTCAGAAATCATATTGACTGGTTTTTATGGATGTTTAAAGCTTTTCTACTCTTTGGCTAAAAACAGAAGTTGTTTTTAAAAGTCACACATCCCCAAAAAACCAAACAAATATAATGTAGGTAAAAACAGGGGGGAAGCTGGTATTTTATTTTGTTTTATAGGTTTGTTTTACGAACCCAGGAAGACATAAGCCCAAAGACTGGCCCTGTTTTAATGACAAGGACAGCTGAAACAAAGAGACTTCCTCACAGGGTGCTGAGTTCCTTGACAGGTACCATTTGAGGAAACTTCACTGTGCAGCATGGAGTCAGTAAGAGAACTGGAAACAGCAAGTGTGACAGATGGCTGGGAGCCCTCATTGCGTTCCTAGAAGAACAAAAAAGTAGACAAGGGCTGCTTGTTCCTTTCTGAGGGTTCAAAAGACAGGCACACTTGCTGCAAGAGCTGAGGAGGTAGTGTGGGTCAAGAAGAATGCACTTGTTGCAACAAAGACAACAGGAAGCTGTTTCTGACCAATCATCCCCTCCTCCAGCTAGAATGTTGATGGGAAGGGATTAACAGTTTATTTTTCTTTGCTGACTTTCCTCTCTCACTGAGCCTGAGTATCTGAGAGCTTCTCTTGCTGTTACTAAGACTCCAGAATCCATGCATCATGGCCAATGCGTCTTTGCAGGAAGGAGCCTATGCTGTCCTGTTGGACTCTTTCAACTTCCCAATGAAGCCAGTAAGTCAGCCTAGGATGTCCTCACATGTCCTCCCTGAACTCCCACAGAGGCCATGGTGAGAAACTAGTCTTTCCCATGCCACATTCCTCCCTAGGAAGAAGTACAGACTGACCTTATTGCAGTCAGCTTGAACCTCTCAGAGTGATTCAACAATGATCATTAAAACAAGATCAGCTAAGGAATAAGGATATTGAGGAGACAAAAAAAGATAAATCCTGAACTCTTACGGAGAGGACAAACTGATCATGGAAGGAAGCTGCTTGCTTTAGACAAAAATATTAGGAACGAAATGGAAGACTTTTGACACCAAAGACTAATATTGATGCAAGACTTCCAAGTGTCAAGAACCTTTTTCTGTATCCATCACGGGAATATAGACAGCGAGATCCTTGAGAAGACAAGCAGAAAGGCAAAGGACACGGGAGCCTTTATGAGGCCAGGCAGCAGGACTCTTGTGGAGGGAATAACCCTTAGCTCACTCCCTCGCTTCTCAATGACTTGGATTCTTTCAGCACCACAGCCATCGATGCAACAAGTTCAACAAACAAACTAAACAGCGCGGGAAATAAGAGGGCTGTATGCATACGTGATCTACCATTAGGAGGGGATTCTCTTCAAGGGAGTTTCTCAGTTACCTTTGAAGTCTTTGCATTCCTTTTCCTCTCAACCCCAAGAAAAGTGCTTTCACCCACTCTGATGGACAGCACTTGCGGAGCCACAGAGTAGATGGAAATAGATTTAGGAACTATTTGGGGGTAATGTTGACATGGGAACAGGAGAGAAACAGGCACTGTCAATGTCAATGTCAATGAGAAGCTGAAAGACTTGGTGATATCAAAGCCACAGAGGCGAAGAGTCTAGAATCTAGAATGGTCTATGTCATTTTCCAGCTAGGCTGGGTTGCTTTGAGCAGTATTCCACACTGGCCATATCCAGTGGTAAACGTTACAGTCATCAGTCACGAAAGCAAGAGAATGCAGATCTTTATAAGGACCATAACACTGTTTACCCAGGCACTGCCTCCAAGTATGTTTGTTTGTGTTCAGCAAGACCTCCCAGCACTGGGGTAGAGCACGAGGTGACATGGTGACATCTGTATTCCTGGCAGAACATTCTGCTTCTCAGATTGAGAACTGAATTTAGAAGTTATGTTCAAAGATAAGTTCATAGAGTGCATTTGTGCCTATTTAAACAGTATTCTGTTTAAACAGTAGATGACTATCAGTTAGATGAATGAAGTTTTGTCTTGCTTCTAAGTGGATGAGCATCTTGGAAAACTTAACTTAGCCCTTCATTCTAAATATTACAAAAGAATTTGAGTATTTGTAGTATGCTAATTTTTAACAAATGCTAGAAGTAGAGATACTTATCATCCTGCTTAGACATTGCTATAAAACAAATACCAATCAGAAGCAAAGAGAAAAGATATGAGCATTTTTTTCCAATCAGATGGATAAAAATGTGTCTTTTACATAGCTTTCCACAATTAGTCATATGCATGGTAGCTAACTAAAATATTGTCTAAAATTTTTGCATAAGGAAGGAAAAATTAAAACAGAAAAGTAAATTAGTATCTTTCTTCTCTGTACTAAGGGAAAATATGTCTGGAAAATAATCTACATTCTAAGAAAAGTTCTAGTGCTAACCTACCCCTTGCAAATACTGGGAGTGAATTATTATCATTTAATATGGACCATGGGTTAAGTGATAATGTTAAAAACTGGGAAAATAGTTTCCCCTTGCCACAAGGAAATTTATCAAGTTAATTTCAGTGGGACAAAATCATGTTCTGTCACTAAAAATCCAAGTGTTTTGTGGTCAAAATGCTTTTGAGTTAAAAACAAATCGCAGTCTAGCTTTAGAAAGTTCACTTTGCATATCTACAGGTGAGAAAACTAGATCCGTTTTCAAGAAGGACTCTACGAGCAAAGTCCCCAACAAGGCCTCATTAAAACACAGCTGAAAGACGACATCTCCCGCTAGGAATACACACAACCTAAAGAGTATGCCCCTGTAAAACAAGGGTTTTCTGGAGGCTAAGTATATGTTCTGGTACCTTTCTCCTCTAATGCAATCATAATGTTATGGTATCCTAACTAGACTAAAGAGATGAGCCTAATAGGGCAGTGTTAATAGGCACAATGGAAAGAAGGAATAGAGGGGGAGGGAGGAGGAACGGAGAGATGAAAGCAAGTAGCTACGCACTTGCGTTAGATCACAGTAGCTTTGGCCAGGTTAATTGTAAAACGTCTGAGATAAAGCTATGCTAACCAAACCTACAGCACCACAGCAATTTCCAATGATCAACCGACTACATAACTTGTCCTGAAATATTCATGGCTGTACCATAATCCTAACTTGATCAATAATCAAGACTGTTCCTTATTAATTCAAACAAATAATAAAAATAATGATTTTAAAATGTGTGTGCTGAATGGGTGTTACAGGCTCGAGTCTCTGTCTTTATCTGAGTAAAGCAAGAAGATGATCAAATCACAAGCATTTACAACACCTAACAGATCACTTTGGCCATGAGCATGCTCTTGTTGACACTCATGAGGTCCTTCCAAACTGAAGAAACAATATATTAAGATGGAAGTGATGCAGCTCTCCCCTACCCTCCGTTTTGTGTGTGTGTGTATGTGTATGTATATGTATGTGTGTGTGTGTGTGTGTGTGTGTGTGTGTATGTGCTCGTGTGTGTGTGCGCACGCGCGATACATCTTTGAGATCTGGGGTTTAGTATTTCTATTACTGAACAATAGTCATAGTAGTGTAAACAAGATTATTTAAAAATAAGGCACAATTACAGATTGCTTTTGATTGTCTCTCATGAAAGTGCACCAGAAGAGCCATCCCAGGACATGGACTTGAGGCACATTTTGCAGAGGTATCTTTTTCGGTTGCTGGTTGTCTACAGATGGCTGAAGCAGGGGTATGGAACATGCTGTCATATTTCATTCATAACACACATGTACTGTAGCTTCAGGCAACAGATGGACAATCACTTGTTTAAACTACAAATGTGAAATACTAAGGTACAATGGCAATATTTCTAGAAATGTATATATATATATATATAAATGCCTTTCCAAGCCAAGAGGGATGGCGAGAGGCTGGGAGGTGGCATCCGTGTTTCCCTGATCTCCCTAGCAGCTGCCATAATTTTCCCGACACCCTTCAAAACTTGATAATGGAAGGATCAGGGGGCAACCAACACAGAGCTGACAGGAGAAGCCCAAACCCTATCAAATAGAAATAACACTCTTCTTCCTGACTGGTTCACATTAATAGGATTTGTAGTCACTAGGAAGATGGTTGGCAGAGTCCTGTCTCTGGTCTATCAACGCTCTATTACAGTCTCACAGAGTGTGTGTTCTCCTTCCCCTGGACCCAAATACGAAATAGCTGTCCATCATCATTCAAGTCCATACTTTTTAAAAGCCCACCATAGACATATTTGCAGACATTTTTGTAGAAAACAATTAGTGTTTTCAAGTGCATTTCATTAATCAGCATATAACCCATGTAGTAATTGTGATCAGAGAGGTCATTTCAACAGGGACCGCCACGCGCTAGTGACAGGAAAAAGCCCACGTCTTTGAGCTGCAGAGACGGCAATGTTTCAGGAATGCTGAGGCCTTGAGCTACGACTTGTGATGATGTCTCTGTGAGTTTTAAAGGCCATTTTGTTTGCCCAGCTCCATATTGAGCCAGTCTGAAATGGGAACCCCAACAGCTACAAAGCCTTATTCTGGATGGGAGGCTTAGCTATGGTAGAGGGCTGGTCTGTTTCATGAAAGGCTCAGAGATCCATCCCCACAACTATCAAAACAGAAAGAGAATCTTACTTTGAAATGTTCTCTGCAGAGCTCGTGACGGTGGGTTTTTTCCTTATCTATGTATTGCATTTGATACAGAATAACCAAGTGTTTGTGCTCTTGATATTTAAACAATTCAGATAGAATTTGACAAGTTTTCTATTACAGACATTATATTTTCTATTTATGTATTTAAATGATAGTGAGGCAATATATCAAAAGACAATGTGTATAATAATTAAAGTAATATGATCCTTATATCTCTACAGTAGGCAAAACTTTGAATAGCTAAAAGAGTAAAGAACAGAGTGACTGGGTATTATTTAAATCAAATTTGTAGTAGGCAAAAACAAAAAGGCAATGTAAATCATATATTAAAGAAATTGCAGAATAAAGTGGTAGGATCCTTTATACGTATTAGATCTTGTGAAAGAAAAACATCTAATTCTAAATATTTCTGTATATGTGTATGTGCACATTCGTTATTATAAAAGGATAAGTCTATATTAAAAAGAAATTCACTTTAAAAATCTTTGGTAAAGATACTCTGAGGTTACTTGATGAGAACGCGCGGAGAGGCTGTAAGCAGGATGAGCTCTGCCCAGAAAACCTCAGGGAAGAAGCTGTGGCCGGCAGCATTTTCCTGTAACTCTCGCATGTAAACATCCGGTTACAGAAGGAGTTAAAGGTAACAAACAACTAGGATGTGATTGCTCTATAGTATAAATATTACATAAATTCTTCCTCTGTTGTCTAAATTTATAGCAATATTACTACATTTCTAGACACAATTCCTGCCCTCATTAAACTGGACTCTACTTTTGGCGTAAAGACAATTTCCTGAACCATTTTATGGTGGACATTCTAGTGAGCTCAAGCCGACTGTACTGCCATCTCGGCTGTCTGACAGGCAGTGTTCTCTGAGGTCACTGGCACAGCCCAGCCTTTGATTTGGAAGACAGGAATTCAGGGATAGAGCCACCACCATATCCTGAAATCCACAAGCTGCCCTCCGTGACTCTCGCGAGAAGAGAAGCAAGGTAGGAGCAGGCAGTAGAGGAAGCCCCTGCAATTCATAGCTCTGGGGATGCACACTGCTTAGCGAGGAAAGCAAATAAGCCACAGATTGACCCAGACGAGCTGGGTGACAAAGGCTTAGGGGTTTCTTTTAATCACTTTTATGATGACTTCTATTCAAGTAAAATAAACTTTATGGAATTCCTGAGGCATGGCTTTGCAATTTTAAACATGCACAAGTAATTAAAAAAAATTTTGCTCTAAATGTTAAAATTAAAACTGTCAGACTAGAAGATCATCATGTCATAAAGATTTAAAAAAAAAAAAAAAAAAGAAAAGTAACAGAAGGGCTGAGAACGCAGGAGCGGCAGGGTGCTTGTCAAGTGCGTGAGACCCAAGTTCAACTCCCAGCACCGTCTAAGAGAGATAAAAAGGTATTTGTGGGACTTAAGGTGACTATATTTCTAGGACTGGGTGTTACCTACAGAGGGATTCATTATATTATTATTTATACCCTTCTGTATAAAGTATTCCATAATTTAAAAGTATATATTTGTAGAAGATTTAAAGAGAGGTTTGGGAAATCTCATCCCAAGATACTGAGCAGTGAGTTCACCAAATGGCCAGCCGTGACTGCTAAGCGAGGCCTCTCCTCTCGACAAAGCCGACTGGCTCCAGTTGGCATGCAAGCGTTTCACTGGCTAATAAGAGTTCGCAGAAAGATTCTCGGCAGCCATTCTGCATATTTTTAGCTCAGAAAGACAATTTTGTTTTCAGTGATTGTCTTTGAAAGTGTGGTGTAAATGTCACACTGAAGATAGGAAAATGTCTCCTGCAATATGTACTTGAGTTGCAGAAGGATTATAAGAATAATAAGACTCTGGTTTCACAATCTTTTCCCAGCTTTTCTTTCTTTTTTAAAGAAGACGGAACATGGTTACATAACTTCATTTTATGTGTCCCAATTTGCAATTTTCAGGGAAAAAAACAGATTTGGGTCATTATAAAATGAAGAAAGATAAGATTTTGATTCCTTTTTAATACATATCCTCTGTAGATAGATGTTAACTGTAGTAACCACGTTTGTGTATTAGGAGAAAATTCACGGTACTTCTAAGATGAAGTGTTGGAGAGAATTGGAAATGTACCAAAAGCAAGTCTGCCTTATGTGCAGATAGGGTGGCGAGGAAAATCTCAAGGTGGAACTGTTGAAATATACTGGGCTTTTCAAATACAAACAGCAATTGTTTGGCTAGCATTTCCCACGTGGGTTCTTTAGCTCCGTAGTGAAATCTGGTTCTTTTTCCACTTTTTAGCTATTGGCCAATAAATGTTTTCAAATGAGCCTTGACCACTGGGCACTACAGATTACGAATTTGGATAACTGCAAACTGAATTTGGGCTCCTGTTAATTTATGTATCTTTTTCACATAAATTCTTTATAGCCCAGCGGAAAAAATGTACAACCACCTCCCCGCTTTATGTTTACCAGGAGTTGCGAGCGGTGTAGCACAATGAGAGAATTCACCTTTGCCATACCTGGTGACAGGATGGCTAACTTCTGTAGCCACAGCCGGAGGGAAAGGTGACAGGACAGATGGGACATCAAGCTAACAGCACCTGCAGGCTGGCACATTCACCCAGGGAAAATCACGTGACAGCAAATACCACACTCAACATCTATTCAACCAGCTGAAAAGTGAGACAAGCACGGGGATTAAAAGTTCCAGGAATGCAGAAGTGAATGGGACGGGGGCATAATCTGTGCAAAAATGTGGAAGTCCTCGCAACAAAGGCTCACGAAGGCCCTACATGATTCAATGTGAAATGTGTATTCGGTAGGAACTTCAACAAATCCCATCATGTATGTGCTTCTAAAGGAAAGGTTAACAGCAGGTGAAGAACAGAGACCATCCCAGGGGTTGAGAACTTTGCCTCTATTTTTCTATTTCTTCTCTTATCTTTTTCTCATGTTTCACTCTTCTCGGGGCCGCACGCACGCGCAGCAGCTGGGCGGGCGGCTGACTCTACAGGTCGGTGCTTGCCTTGGCGGTCAACACCCTGATGCGGGCTGAGTTGCAGGTCTTGCAGAGGATGTGTCCGTCCAAGGGGTAGCAGCCTTGGTTGTCTCCTTCAGACAGAAGGCCACCACAATCCTAGGGAAACAAAGACAGAAGGGATGGAAGTGATACTGGGAAGCTCGGGCACAAACCCGGCCTCCCGAGCTGCCTTTACAGACAGAAGGCCACCACAATCCTAGGGAAACAAAGACAGAAGGGATGGAAGTGATACTGGGAAGCTCGGGCACAAACCCGGCCTCCCGAGCTGCCATTACAGAAGCACAAACCCTGCTTCTGTAATGCGCCCACTGCACCCCACCCTTAGTACATGGCATAGCAGACCATGGATGAAAGTGAATTGGAGGTTAATAACGTAAGTGCAAATGGTAGCCAGGAGTGGTGGGGCACACCTTTGATCCCAGCACTGGGGAAGAAGAGGCAGGTGGGCCTCTGTGAGTTTGAGGCCAGCCTAGTCTACATAACATATTCTAGGCCAGCAAGGACTACAGAGACTCTGTCTCAAACCAGAACAAACAAATCCAAATAGCCTAAAATGACTCTTTTAGTCACTGAATATAAAAACATAGTACAAGTAGGAAAGAGCTTACAGTTCTCAGCACTCAGGGCTTAATTTGCTTTCCTAAACAACAGTAAGGAAAAATAAAGTACGGTCCCTAATGCACACTACCCTTTGCCCTTAATTTTAGTATCTCGTTGAAAGAATGGACAGGTGTAAGAATGGAAGTTTATGGCTATTTAAGTCAAAGAAAAGTGATTTCTGTCATGTATCAAGGCTACCAATGGCTTCTGCATATTTCCTGCAATTGTAGCAAGAACACAAAATTGCAAGGGCTAAGAGGACTAATAGTACATCATACTTTCCAAAAGGGACAGCACATGAGAGAGGGACATACATTACAATGGGAGACAAGTTCTCCAGGGGCCGCTGTTAGGTTTGTGACTGTCTGTACAGGCTGGGCACAAGACTGAATGCCACTTTGAAAATAATTAAGGCAGTTTCTACCTTACCAAGCTTTTGGGATGGTCAAAGCAGGTAATGGATATGGATGCACCCTGTAAAAAATGCAGAGTTGCATAGGTGTAAAGCATTGCATTAGTGTTGGTATTGGTGAAGGTCCGTTCTGTAAAGCATTGGGTAGCACTGAATGCCAGCCCTTGCCTTTAGAAGAAATGGGAGTTTGCTTGGAGAATAAACAGAGCCATATTTAGCATTGTGTGTGCTGCCCACTTTAAGAAAAGTTGTCACATGGCTGCAAAGCTCCCCTCTGCTCTCTAAGAGTAGCAAGGGGATGAATGAAGCCATGTCTACAGCTGACAAATACTAGACTCTTGGTATAAACAGGGCTGACCCAAAGTACGACAGCTGACACAACTATGATCCATAGGAAGTTTGGCTTTGCCAAAAAGAACCAGTGGTATATTGTACTTCGAGATGTCTTCAGGCACTGAGTAATGGAACTAAACAAAAAATTATTTCAAATCACGAAAACATCATTCATAGATGTTTTAAAACTGTGTGTGCGCGCGCGCGTGCGTGCTTGCGTGCGTGCACGCACGCGTGCTTGCGTGAGTGTGTGCACGCACAAGGGTCAGAAGTTGACATCTGGTGTCTTCCCCTGTCATTCTCCTTGTTACTGTTAAAGATGGAGTCTCCCAGTGAATCTAGGGCTCACTTTAAGTCAGCTAGATGAGTGGCCAGTGAGCTCTAAGGATGTGTAACAGCCCAGCAGACCCTCCTCTTTCTCCTTCCCCAAATGCTGGCGTTACTGCGCATGCCACGGCGCCTGCTTTTCACGTGGGTGCCTGGGATCCAAAGGCAGATCTCTGCACTTGTGGGACGAGTCCTTTACTGATGGAGCTGTTTTCCCTGCCCAATTTCAAGCCTTTAAGGAGTTGTCATCTACAGTCATTTGGACCCTGTAAGCGGTCCAAAGTTGACCACAGGACTGGAAACAGCACCCCAAGGAGCTACACAGAAAAAAGTCAGAAGGGAGAGTGAAATGGTCTGCCTGGTGTTTCTCAGGGTAGCAGGCCGGACAAGAACAGTGGCTTGCCATCTTCCAGTTCAGTGCTCCCCCCATTTTATGGTTTTGTTTCTGAAAGTTGCTCAGCACTTAAATCTAATTTGTACAGCGCAGTGTATGCAAAAAACACAAGTCAAAGCCCGTGGGCATGCAATGGAGTATGGGAGGAACTTCGGCGGAGGTGGTACTTCTTGGCACCCTCGTATCTCCTGTAAAATGACCTCTAAAGGGTCTCCACACTCTTGTGGCCTCATATGGGGTCACTGGAGAGATGAAGGCCGAACACCGATGTCCTCTTTTCTTCCCTGGTCATAGACCTCACACAAAGGCCGTTCGTTTGTTACTGTATTTCTTCATGTTAACCTTGGAGAGGGGCACATAACCTGAGCTTTACGGATGAACAAAGCACAGTGCAAAAACAGATGGTCAGTTATAGGCAAGGCAGTGGATGGAGTGGACAAATTCTCTGGGGCTCTCAGAGCCTTGCCAGCCTACAGCCTCGGGCATCCTTCAGTGAGACTATGTGGACAAGGGAATGAGAAAGCCTGCGTCCCACACAGACCGGAGAAGGGGATGAAAAGTGCTGTATCCACAAGAGCTTGTAGACAAAGAAAACTGTTTGGAAGGAGGGGCCTGGGTAGCTCATAGAAGAAGGGAAAATACTTTAAAAACCATTGTCTCCGCCCTTTGCTGTATTAATGGCTGAATGTCCCTCACAGTGTCAACTAAGTTCCTCTTCTCACTTCTAGGCTGGTTATGCCTTATATATTCTCACAGCCTGACCCTGACCCTGACTTCTCTACAGCTCTTAGCAGGTGTAACCTCCTGAGTGATACCTGGAAGCTAACTACTAAATAAACAAACCTCTCTAACTCTGAATGAGAAGTTCCTGCATCTCTGAAATGAATGAATTCTTGTCCTTCTCATCGGAAGATAATGGCCTCTCTGCCCAAAGAAGCAGTTGACCAAATCATAAGTTAAAGATTCATCATGATCATGATCATGACCATCATCACCATCATTACCATCATCATCGCTTTTCCTCCAGCTTAATAGTTTACACTGTCCTGGGACATATAGTTCTGTGTTTTGGTCTCATAGCTGCATCTGGAGGAGTAAGAACTCGAAGCGTTTGTACAGAGAGAGGGATGGTTCAGAGTGGGGTAAGTTGTGTGATGGCACTGCCTTAGCAGCCTGTGTCAGAGCTGAAGCCTGTCTGATCAGGCCAAGGCCTTCGCTAGGCACCAAGGTCTCCAGGTTGCACGACTGCTCTGACTCGGGGATGCCACAGACCTCACAGCGGTAGCAGTGCACGTGGAAATCACGGTCCAGAGCCACGATGCGGACGGTCTCCTCCTGGCCCGGGGCAGGCATGATAGGCTCCTTGCACACAGAACAGCGTGGGGCAAATTTCCTGAAAACAGACAGAATTCTGGTGAGATGTCACATGCACATGCGGATGGGGAGGGGACACAGCAGGGGAGGGAAGGTGTAAAGCCACAGGTTGACACCCGGTCTTCACTTCCTGTGTGGCCTTGACCTAAAGAGAGCGAGACAGTAGAGACATTGACAGATGGTGCACACTACGTGTCTGCCAGAGAAAAGGGTGTGGACTGCTCTGTACAGAGAACCAGGGAAGAGGGTGTGGACTGCTCTGTACAGAGAACCTTCAGGAACTCTTTAGCAGGCAGCATGGATAAGCAGCAATCCTGTGCACAGAACCATGCTAGGCATGACCTAGATGAACACAGGAAACAAGGTCCTGCCTGAACATGGATGGACACAGGTCCTGACAGGCTCTGCCTTGCTTCTAGATGTGAGTGTGCCGTCCTGGTGCCCTAAACAAATCCCCAAATTTGGAATCTCTACAGCTGTTTTCTTTAAAATGTGTCTGCACTCCTAGACCACCAAAAGCCTCACACACACAGGTTTTACTTAGTGGTTTACTATGTATTTGCTGAAGAACTTGCAATGGTAAAGTGCACATTACTTCCAATTTGTTTGTATAAGGGATTTTAGCATGATCAAAGTCTATATAAACACACATGTATGCACACATGTAAGGTTTTGAAGCTATTGGTAAAGAACTTTCACATATTTCTTCATTTATTGTCATTTGCTAACAACTTTTTGTCTTAGCAGATTAGCAGGCTCAAAAATGGGCTATGAATCCATCTGTATTTCCTAGAATTTAAGGATAACATTTGTGAAGGTGTGGAATGAGACACAATTTGGAATGGACACAGATAAGAACTGAAAAACTGGTTAAAGGACACACAGAACCAGCCCGCCTGAAATCCTAGTACTGGAGAGGCTGAGGCAGGAGGATCATTCTTAAGTTCCAATCTAGCCTGGGCTACCGAGTGAGCTCCTATTTCAAAACGCTAAAATCAGATGACAAAGGGATATACAGAGAGATATTGAGCAAGCTACTAAAGTCTTTCATGGAAATGGTTTTAAGATTAATGATGTTAAAATTTATCTACTTGTAGTAAGACTTAAAAGGAAATAATGATAGTCATCTAATCCTCTGCCAAGCACTTCATGGTTGTCAAAGCATTTTTACATACATTATACTCTGTATGTACATTTTAATTTTCCTGGCGGCACCCAAAAGGCATCTGTATGGCTGTAATCTAAATAAATATGAATTAAGTAGCAGATCGATTGATTGCTGTGAAAGAAAAATTAAGAGGATCATGGTACAACTGCAGTAGTAATCAGGGTTGTTATAATTGATATTTTATGCAAGAAGTTTATATTCAGTGGCAAAAATTGCTTTGGATTACCTGATTATTTTTGAATCTGGGTTATCAGTAGTAAAAGACACAGACTCCTGATGTCAACTGCAGAACTTCCTTTCCTCAGGTGCGAGGTCACTGGGAGGGCAGAGGTAGCCGCAGCTTCCTCGTTTTCCCAGGCTGATGTATTCCTCTAGGACACGACTTCTTTTCTTTTTTGACTTTATTTAGTAGTAATTACTTCTACATCTTTGGTGACCACTATATTGGTTCATACAGAGGAATTTGAGCGACACCTAATGCCACGAACCACCTGCTCTATTTTTCTATGAGAAAGGCATTATTAGATCTGATGTCTGGCCTCACGGTCCTTCTCTAGACAGTCTGTAGCATGTTCTCACTAACCAATCACCCTTCCTTAGCAAAGCTGAGAGGCAAGAGCTGCTGTCACGATCTGAGGCAGAGTTTTCCAATGCTTAGCTCGCCAAGTGGATGATAATAATAATAAATAGGGTGAAAACAGTTTTGATGGTTACTGTTTATTAAGTGCCTGTTACATGCCAAGTTCTGTTAGACACTGTACACATTATTTTCTGCTGATAGTCATGTTATTAGGAAGCGTTTTTTTTAATCATTTTTGTTCATCAGTCAAGGGAGCCATGAACCTAGTCATTTCACATCCAACATATTTTTGGCAATTAACAAATGAATACCAAATTAAACAACCAAATGGATCAATGCTATGGTTTGGATATGAAATCGTCCCTTCGGGCTCATATACTCGGCGCTGAGCTGTCAACGGATGAACCGCTGGGAGGTGACTGGATCGTGCCAGCTTTGACTTCAATGGATTCATCCATCCTTAGAGTCCTAGCGCACTGGTACTATCAGGAGGTGATGTAGGAGGTGAGCTAGTTAGAGGAGGCAGGTCACGACAGCATACCTGTCAAGGGCACATCTTGTCCCTGGCAGCCATGAGGTGAAAAGCTGTTCAATCATGCCTCTTCTCCATGATGTGCTGACTCGCCACAGGTCCGGAAACCGAGGACCAGCTTACTCTGGACTAACAATTCTGAAAACCATGTGTCCAAACAGACGTTCCCTACTCAGGTATTTGTCAGAGGGACAGGAAGCCTGACTAATACCACAGATGACACCCCTGCCAGGAAAGCACAGATCACTGTGTATGCCTCACACACTAAAAAGAGCAGTGTAAGCCCACTCTCCCTGGCACAGGAAACATGGATCCAAAAGATTCCAGCACAGCCCTGAGAAGGAATTCTCCATGCCTCTGTATTTGTTCTAAACCTTATAGTCTATCTTCTTGAAAAAAAATTATCTACGTTGGTTGCTGTAAAAATTTATTCACATGTATAGTTCATCACAAAACCAGGAGACACTGTAATAGACTTAGCAAAATTACTCAAATATAGAGGTGGCATGAATTCATAACTGGGAATAGGGAGTGGTAAAATCAAAGAAGTCCTACTAAAATAGTAAGTTTAGCCTTTAAAGACAGCCAGGCTGGTAAAATGAGGAGGGAGTGTGTGTGTGTGTGTGTGTGTGTGTGTGTGTGTGTGTGTGTGTGTGTGTGTGTGTATCCATGTGTGTGT